TGTAGTAGTAGCAGTAATGGTAGTAGTAGTAGTAGCAGCAGTAGCAGTAGTAGTAGTAGCAGTAGCAGTAGCAGCAGCAGTAGTAGTAGAGTGGTATTATCAGTTTTGAGATGTACTTGAAGATTATTTATTTGAAAGGTAAAGCTAGAAGGATATTATTAACAAATTACTTATCAATTTTTAAACGCTTTTCAGACTGTTTATTATCTATATTAACCAAACAACCGACCAACCAACCAAACAACCAACCAACAAACCAACCAACCAACCAACCAACCAACTAACCAACCAACAAACTAACCAAACAACCAACCAAACAACCAACCAATCAAAAAACCAGTCAAACAATCAATACACACACACAAACAACCAACCAAACAAACAACCAACCAATCAAAAAACCAGTCAAATACACAATACACACAAACAAACAACCAAACACACACACACACACATACACACATACATCAAACAACGAATAACCCGACTAACATGCGGTATCAAATGCATGATAGCATCACCGACTAGTGACCCGACGCAGAGTCCCAGCATGCAACCTATCACATATTTGTACTTGCTGCTCTTCCTAAAGTTAACGATTATTACCGAAAGAATCGGACAGATACTGATTATGAATACCGACAATGTTCCGTATCCGTATTCTGAATGGATGAATGAATGAAAGAAAGAATGAATGAATGAACGAATGAACAATGAATGAATGATAAACGAACGAACGAATGAATAAACGAATGAACAATGAATGAATGAATAATATATAAATAAATAAATAAATGAGCGAACGAACGAAAGAACGAACGAACGAACGAACGAATGAATGAATGAACGAACGAACGAACAAACGAACGAACGAACGAACGAAAGAATGAATGAATGAATAAATAAATGAATGAATGAACGAACAAATGAATAAATAAACGAATTATTGAATGAATGAATTAATAAATAATGGACGAATTAATTAATTAAAATTTTTGATAGCTCACTTTCCGCGTCTGTCGGCATGACGAGTTTGAAAAAGTTGATAAAGTTGCTATTCAGTCCAGTCAATCTATGGTGCTGATGACGATGTTGAAGACGACGACGACGATGCTGATGATGTTGTTGATGTTGTTGATGATGATGTTGTTGATGATGTTGTTGATGTTGTTGTTGTTGACGATGCTGATGATGTTGTTGATGTTGTTGATGATGATGTTGTTGATGTTGTTGATGATGATGTTGTTGATGTTGTTGATGATGATGTTGATGCTGTTGATGTTGACGACGACGAGGATGATGATGATGTTGTTGATGTTGTTGATGTTGTTGATGATGATGTTGATGTTGTTGTTGTTGTTGTTGATGACGACGATGATGATGATACCCGCAACAATCAACAACAGTAACAACAATAATGATAATAATAAATTACTTTCAAAACTTTTTAACGGTGATAACAAGGGCCATCCTACCTATCACCATGATGTCATAATAATGATGTTGACGTCAAATGATTATTATTATTATTATTATTATTATTATTATTATTATTATTATTATTATTATTATTATTATTATTATTATTATTATTACTGACTATAATGATGATGATGATAATGATGATGATGATGATGATGAAAAGGATAATAGTTTTATCGACGACGATGATGATAATGATGATGATAATAATAGAATAATTATAGTAATAACAATAATAATGATAAAAGTAGTGATAATGATACTAACGATGATGATAATGATGATGATATTGATGATAATGATGTTAACACTAGTTTTTGAAATATATTGAAAGAAAGAATTTTACTAGTGTAACTCACTTTTATTCATTTTTTTATCTTGGGGAGAGAGAGAGAAAGGAAGAGAAAGATATATAAATAGAAAAGAAAGAGAAATGAAGAAAGAGAGAGAAAGTAAAAGAAAGAAAGTAAGAGTAAAAAAGAGAGAAAGAGAGAGAGAAAGAGAGAGAGAGAGAAAGAGAGAAAGAGAGAGAATGAGAGAAATACTTATACTATACATACACAAGTATCCTGGGAAGAGAGAGAGAAAGAGAGGAAAAAAGAGATATAAAAAGAAAAGAAAAAGAAATGAAGAGAGAGAGAGAGAGAGAGAAATACTTATACTATACATACGCACGTATGATTATCAAGAGGTATATATTAATAGCTGATAAAGTTGAGCTTTTTGTCTCAAGCTGATAACGCTGTTGAGTATATTGTTGTTGATGTTGTTGTTGATGTTGTTGTGATGTG